ACGCGTTGATCGCCAGAGGGATCACCAAATCGGACACTGTATTGACATTCGCTGAAAACAGTACCGAATTAGTTATCGTGATGTTTGCGGCCATATATTTAGGCATAACTCTATACCCGATTACACCCATCGCCAGAGTCTACGAATTGGATCAACTGATGGACACATTGGGGCCATTATTTATATTCACAACGAAGTCTAAGGCGAAGATTATAGAAACAATTTTGAACAAAAGGTCTGACAGACAAACGGTCAGATTTGTGGCCGTTTTGGACGACAACCATAACGTATACGTGCCGTTCAAGTCGCTCCTGTCTGAGGGACAGAACCAGATTCTGGACACTATTCCGCACTTCGCCGTCAAACCCAAGAAAGACATTTGCATTTTGTTGCAAAGTTCGGGCACAACGGGAGCGCCAAAGTCGGTGATGATATCGCACACGGCGTTTGTGGCCGCACTCATGGCCTTCATTAAGCCCGATATGAACGACGAAAGCGGCGGTAATAACCGGACGTCACCTCTGGTGGGTTTCCAAATGACTCAATTTAGTTGTATGTCTGGTGTGGCCGTACTCTTTGGTTACGCCACTGGCGCTGTCAGTCAAGTGATTGCCAACGAGAGAGACGACCGAATGATTTTTAAAGCCATTCAAGACTATGGCGTGAATTTTATGGGAATGGTTCCCGCGTTTGGTCACAAACTTCTTAACGAAATGTGTGACGAATACGATCTCTCGAGTCTGAAGGCTCTGATGGTTACCGGCGCTGCCTTTGCCGCAAATGTGGCCAAAGATATAATGCAAAAACATAAGGTCTCTGTAGTTGAAGGTATCGATTGAATACATTTATATAACTTTTAATACAATTTTCATTAAATTTTGTTTTATATAGTGTACGGAATGACAGAATATTGTGGCCTAACCTCTCCCGATGGAGAATACATACCGGGATGTGTTGGCCGACCGTCTGATAACACCGATATGAAAGTAATCGACAGTAAAGGCAACAGTTTAGGGCCTGACTTAGACGGCGAACTCTGCGTTCGCGGACCCAAACTGTTCTCCGGTTATCTGAACAACGTTTTGGCCACCAATGAGGCCATCGACGATCACGGGTGGCTCCGCACGGGTGATATCGGACACTACGACTCGAGGCACCGCTTCTTCATCACTGATCGGCTGAAAGAGCTGATCAAATACGGCACTAAACAGGTGTCGCCCACAGAATTGGAACAGTTCTTACTGACACACGAAGCCGTGGCCGAGGCTGTGGTGGTCGG